GAGTGTGTTTAAGTGTGTGTGTGTGTGTGTGTGCGCGCCTGGAGAGGAGGAAGAGTGTGTGTTGGGCTGCGTGCTTGACAGAGACTGTGTGTTTGTGTACAGTAGCTGCACTCGAAAGAGAAAGATTACGATTGTTTGTTTATGTGCTGGAAAGATGGATTGTGTGCACATGCTAGTGTGTGTGTGTGTGTGTGTGTGTGTGTGTGTGTGTGTGTGTGTGTGTGTGTGACAGGTACAATCAAGGGGTGTGTACCGTCTGTCCCACACAAGCTCAGCTGTCAGTGTTTGCCTGCCCTGTAGTCCTGTCACCGCTGTCTGCTAGCATGTAGCCTTCCTGTCTCTGTGTCTCTCACAGCTACAGATGGACGAATGCAGGCAGCTCTAGCCGGAGTCTGAGAGTCACTCAGCTCACAAATAAACCGCGGAATCCTCTCGCTGTGGCGGAGTGGCTCTTGGGATTGCCAAATCTTCAGTTAAAAGCATTCTTCAGTTCAGCCGTATGCATATTGTTGCATCCACACAGGCCGAGCTGATTTTGTCACTGCGGCTGACATCTTTATGTGTTTACGAGTCTAAAAAAGCATTCACGCTTTAAACCAGTTGACTTTCTTGTGGCGTGTTTACTGTGGCAGCTGTCGAGCTCTTGTTTTCATTCTGAAGTGATGCTAGCAGCGTATCACAGCGGTGGCACAGATGACCGGGAGCCCTGGTCAGACGGGATGCGGAGCGTTGCTGCTTCATCAGGCTGTTAAAGCTGCTACATGCTGCCATTCAGACATACGCAGCGATGGAGAGAGCCACAGCAGTCAGGGTTAGGGTACAGGCCAGGTCGGGCAACACAGGGAATGATATACAACAGATAGTAATGACTAGTAAGCAAGAAATAAAGTCGAGGTTTGCAATGTAGCAAATGATTTCACTGCAGTTTATTAACTGTGACTCTTTGTGGCAGGTCAGCTGTGTGATGCGGTGGGAAGCCGACAGTTATAACTCATTAATGAAGCTCCGTTGTGGTGCCATGTGTAAATGTGACTTCTTGGAGAGACGACGGATCCTGCTGTGGTCTGATCATACAACAAGCTAAACTTCAGCTTTTGTTTCACCAAGACCACACATGTTAACGAGGAATCAAGTTTGCTGCTCATAATGTGACCTTTAATTAGCTGCATTACCTGGTTTCACCATCAGGTGGAGTTTCACCATCAGGTGGAGTTTCTTCCTGTGTGACTCTGCAGCGACCCAAGGAGCTGATGACTGGCAGCTCCATGTTCGCATCAGAGAGCATTGTGGGAGTTTGGTTAGACCAGTGCTGCCATGAGAACGTCTCCTGTGATGCTTCATGCCTCCTGGGCTGCTGTGTTTCGGCCAGCAGGGCTGTGACAGCATCTGTATCCATCACAGTAAAGCTTTCATTTATTTTGTGACATTTAGTCTGTAATGGATGTGAAATTGTATGAAAGTGAATGACAAAGACATGTTTTTATTTTTTAATGTGTATTTTGCTCTTTCTGTTTTTAAGCCAGTATTGGTTCTGAAATGTGACGAATGCGTCTCCTGCATGGCTCCAGGTGATTCACGCCTCTCCATTAATGTCGGCATACAGTTTAGACTCGTGTATGTTGAAAGTGTCACTGTGTGGTCCGTCCTAGTACGACTGCATTCTTCTGGAAAAGAGACCAAGGTGCTGTTTGAGACATGAAGCCGATGCATTGAGATGCCGTCAGATCAGCCGACAGCAGCAGATTCCTGTGGAGATGTTTATGTGTGCTGTGATGTACCATGAGCTTACATCACATGATATTTACTGTGCTTCCAGCATCCTACACATGCTACACACCATCAAGCTCGTGTGTCTGTGTCAGTATTAGTAGATCAGGATATTTGCTTGCACATTTATGAAGCGCTGACCTGTTTGTGTTGCATCGCATGTGTTCTTCAGAAACACACAAAGACAAACACACTGGAGCAGAAGAGCATCAACCCATGCATTCGTTCTTTTACGGACATTTTTTGTCTTTGCTAACAATAAAGAAACAGAACAGAATGATGCCAGCGTTATTCCAGAAGGCGGATCTTAGTCCCTGTCAGCTGCTTTCTTTCCTCCATCTCTCTGACACCTGCCTCCTCCTTTCATTTATTTTCTCCTCCCTCCTCTACTCGTGGATCTCTGATTTTCTTCTCCTCCTTACTCATCTCTCTCGGTCTCCAGCGGAGGATGCAGTCATTCACCCTCTCATCTCTCACCCCTCTCGTTTCCTCTTTTACCTTCTTGTTTAAATCGTGTCGTTAGTGTCCCTTTCACCTCCCCACTCCGTCGCCCTCGTCTTCACCCCATTCACTTCCTTGTTTTATAATTCACCTCTCATCTCTTTTCTCTCCTTCTGCCACTTCTCAATGGCTTCATAATATCCCTCCTCCTCTCTATATCTCCCCACCTACTCTCTCTAACTCATTTACTTCTCATTCACTCTATCTCTCTTTCCTCCTTTCTTCTTCATCTAATGCCTTTTCATTCTTTCGCTCCACCTCTCTATTCCCTCTTAATATCCCGCTGTCTCTCTACCTGAGATATTGAAGCTATAAAGACAGGTGTTCAAAAGAAAGCAGGGCCAGCAAATCTGTTTTATATGCCTTCTGGCATCATTCCCTGGAATGCAGAGAGAAGAAAAAGCTGTGGTCTGTAATATCTAATTCTCAGCACCTTGAGGAGAGAAGAAGAAGAAGAACCTAGTTTTTCTATAAAACCTTCAGCCTTTTGTCTCCACCACTGGGGACACACTTCACTGTTCTGCTCTTCTGGGTTTACAACATTTTATTCTTCTTTTTACTGTATGGGAACACGGCGTACACGCGACTTTTACAAAACATTACGGCTCCAAATTGTGCAGATGACATGCAGTAATTTCCTGTCAGAGGTACAACAGTGTACTTCAAGAAATAGTTATGTATAACACAGTTTTATCGGATAGAAATGTCACTTATCAAGAAAAGCACCATTTCACGGTGGTCATAAAGGTGCGACAAACCACATTTAATGGGCTCAACATTACACACACTGAATGGAGGTATCGGGTTTTATTGTTAAACTTCAGCACGTATGGAGAGTCACTGTGTCACCCCACATTATATTAAAATGACTCTTATTCACAGTATTCAGTGGCTTTCAGAGAAAACGGCTTGTGTATAATGATCACCACAACAATAAACCACTGACAGGTGAGGTGTATAACACTGATTATCTCTTTACAGCTACACCAGTCAAGCAGTTGAATATATTTGGCAGCAAGTCAACACTGGTTTTATGAAGCTGATGTGGTCGAAAAAGGAAAAAATAGTCAATGTGAGGATCTAAGCCACTCTGACAAGGGACAGGATGTGATGCTAGACGACTGGGTCAGAGCATTTCAAACAGCAGGACTCTTGCAGTGTTCCTGGTATGCAGTGGGTAGTACCTACCAGAAGTGGCGGGTACTATCCATTACCAGTGGGTAGTACCTACCAGAAGTGGCGGGTACTATCCATCACCAGTGGGTAGTACCTACCAGAAGTGGCGGGTACTAACCATCACCAGTGGGTAGTACCTACCAGAAGTGGATGGTGCTTTGACACATGGCACCTACCTGAATATTGTACAGTACATACACCCCTTGATAGTCACAGCATTCCCAGACGACTGTGATCTCTTTCAACAGGATCTTCCTCTCTGCCACACTGCAAAAACTGTTCAGGAGTGGTTTGAGTCCTGTCTGTACATAGAGATGGGGAAACCCTTTAGATGTGACTGCGTAGCACTTGGCTTATCCAAAACTGTTTATGTTATACATAATGTTAAGCTGTAAGAAATGAGCTTCTTCTTTTGTTGCACCAGGCTGTCAGCATGTTTATTTCTGCTGCACAGTTGGGCATTTCAACGTGGGGGTCTGTGGGGACTGACTTGCTTTTGGCCATTCGAGTAACTTTTGGTATTGGCTTCATTTTCAGTCCTGAGGGTTGCCACTTGGCTTTAAAGAACGTGTCACAGAGTTTAAGCCATTGATTCGGCCTCCAAATTCCCCAGATCTCAATCCGATCAAGCATCTGTGGGTTGTGCTGAAAAAACAAGTCCGTGGAACTTCGCCTCGCAAACGTGAAGGCTCTGCTGCTAATGTCGCTGTGTGCTATCCCAGCACACCTTCAGAGACACCTTCAGAGGTCTTGTGGAGGCCACACCTCGACCAGTCAGAGCTGCTTTGGAGGCACACGGCGCACCTACACGTGGTTTTAATGTTGTGGCCAATCAGTGTGTGTTTGCTCGCTCGTGTGTGTGTGTTCATGGAGTGTGTTGTTGTTTGGGGTTTAGTCGGCTTCTTTTAGGAGCGCCACGGCAGCTGGAATCTCCCCACTGAATAGACTGGGATAAGCTCTGAGACAGAAACTGTGTGTGTGTGTGTGTGTGTGTGTGTGTGTGTGTGTGTAAGAGGCAAAGAGAGAGGAATGGGAATAAGTGGAGGGAGAGAAAATGAGATGTGAGGGTTAAAGAGAGAAGCAGTGAGATGAGGAAGCAGGAGAGATTGAACTGTCAGCAGCTTGACTTAATCTTTTTTTCTTTTTTTTTTTACCCAATATGGAGATGAGACGCAGTTGTGTGTAACTGTGTGTGTGTGTGTGTGTGTGTGTGTGTGTGTGTGTGTGTGTGACTGAGACAACTCCATCCTGTTTTGAAGTAACCTAATCTAGGATGGAGACCCTCTCTACCCCCAAACAACCTCAGAAGACCGAAACTCTAGCTCTAAATCCCTAATAACTGGCCTTTGTCAGTCCTAAATTACCCTGTATCACACACACACACAGCAAAGGGCTTATGGGTGTGCATTGCACATGCTTAGACTCACAGTTGTGCAGTTTACTCACACCCAAGGCAGGGTAATATATTGTGTATTTTCAGCAGTTTGACTGGGAGATTTCAGAACCTCGTGATTTTGCTTCCCCCCACAGACTAAGCGTTTGTTTTTCTTTGCCAGATGCCAGGCAGAGGGACAGACCATCGGCTGTCACCGCGATACGAAGAGGTGGAGCGTCAGTATGCCTCCTTACCAAGGTACCGCTCTTTCCTTCCCTTGTAGGAGACGGTCCAACATGCACACGGCGCCGTCGGCTGTCTTCTGTGTTGTTCTTCTCTCCTCTGCCTCTAATTAAATCTGCGTATTCTGTCATTCCTGCTGCGGTCTCTGGAGGCCGCCGTCTCAGGCAGGGAGCTCACCTTCCCTCTCCCCGGGGAACACACACTCAGACAGGCCTGGAAACTGATCCCTGACTCCCGGATCTGCTCCCCCGACAAAACTCACTTTGGCTTGTACTTTATCAGAAGTTTTCTTTGTGTTGTTTCTCTGCTGGCATCAGTGAGAAACACATGTTTAGTTGGCTGTCAGTCAAGCAGTTACTGAACCGCTGGTACAGCTGACAATAGCCCTCAAATTCAAATTACTCAACAGCTTTTGCAGCAGTCACTAACTTTACCATGAATTTCACTGGAAGCTTCACTAGAAGTTGTCAGGAACTCCTGTTTGATGCTTGATAGCTGTACGTTCTCAGTTTGTTTCATTCAAGTGTTTTAGCTTGTCTGTGGGTACGACTGAGCATTTCTGCATCATGTCTGAGCTGCACAGAAGACGTAGCCGTGGCCGTCACCTATGGAAACGCGACCACACAGCTTTCTCTGTGCATCGCATCGTTTTCCTCCCTGGACAGCATGAAATATGGCTAACATTAGCCAACACGGGACCAGTAGCGGTTTCCTGAGTGTGTTCATCAGTTCTTGAAAGTTCCTTCCATTTATTTCTCGTTATGTTTTCTGATGTAGCCAGATAAACATTCTGTCCTCGGATGACCACGCTGGTGTGAAAGCCCCTTTAACATGAGCTTAAGACCCACAGCTGTCCACTGACCATCTGAACACGGTAACGCCTCCAGCCGTCATCAGTCACTGCAGGTCTGTCAGCATCTCATTTTTCATGTGTAACGTTGCCACTTTCTCTTCCCGTCTTTCTTCACTCTCTTTAATCTCCACATTTTCTTTCTCCCCAGACTCTGTTGAGTCCTTCTCTTCTCTCCTCCCTTTGCTTCTCACCCCTTCATCATGTCTCTCTTCTTATGTATTTTTTCTGTGCATGACACTCCAGAGATGAACACTGTTATTGTATTATTGTATTGAAGCGCTCTGGTAACGGGCCGGCATCAGCGCGTCTTTAACTCCTGTCTAAAAATACGACTTCTTCAAGTGGAAATAGAAGTGTTTATGTAGACAGTAGAACACAGAGTAGCTGCTACGAGCTTCTTCTCACCTCGTTTTATGTTGTTTCTTACAACCGACACCTCGGCAGACCAACAAATGTTTGTTTGTGTGTGTGAGAGAGAGAG